ACTTTCTATACCATAAGATCTTTTTCTCTTTATAAGTTTCTATTACAAATCTTTCTACATATGGAGTTTGTTGGATTACAGAACTTGGTTTTAGATAATGAAAGTTGGGTTGTAAAAATTAGGATATGTAGGTTGTGGGAATCTTTGAATACAAAGAGAAATGGGGAATTGATTAGTTTGGACATGGTTGTGATTGATGAAAATGTGTGTCATTTATTCTTATTGTTAATACCATGTATTAGCAAAGTATGTTTTGGTTAATTTGTTTGTTTTCCTTTGTTTTGTTTCGTAGGGCTCTCTCATGMCAGCAWTGGTAAGGAAGAACTTGGTCAACAAGTTCAACCATTTGTTGAAAGAAGGAAATGTGTATATTTTGAAGAATTTCAAGGTGGTTGAGAATTCTGGCGCCTTCAAGGTCATTGACTCAAAATTGAAGATTATGTTTACACTATTAACCAAGGTGGAAAAASTTGATACCTATGTTCYTTCTATCCCTATGCATGGGTTCCAACTTGCAAGTGAGAAAACAGTTAATGACCGTCTCAACGATGACAACATACTCACAGGTATGTCTAAAAGAAGTTCTTACCTTTTTTGACCTCACTTGATTGATTTATGTTCTTTTGGTTTTTTAGATATTATTGGTTGTTTAACTGCTGTCGGAGATGTTGAGACTGTGAGGGGTGGGTTTCGAAAAAGAGACTTGGAGATTATATCGGAATTGTAAGTGATCTTCCAAGTTATATTGTTGTTTCTCCTTTTAGCAAATACTTTGATACTGTGGTTAACTGTTTCCAATTTCTCTTACTATTTACCTTAGCAATGTCACATGCAAAGTTACTTTATGGGGAGCTCTTGGTGAAACTTTTGATGATTCCCAATTCTAGCAAAAGTCGGGTGCCACTTTTATTATCATAATTACTTCTACCCGAGTCAAAAAATTTCAAGGTAATCTCTTTCATAATCTTTTATATCATAACTTAAAGCTTATATCTTTTTAACTAACTTTCACATAATATACATTTTATTGCTAGGCGTCCTAAACTTTGCAACTTCAAGTGCAAGCAAAGTGTATATTAATCTCAACACCGACTATGTGCTGGCCTTGGCTGACAGATTTGCTAATGTTTGTCCTTGACTACACTTGGGGGTGTCCTCTGGTAAGGTGAGAAGAACGGTGGAAGAGGAGATGTTTGAGAATCAGATGAACATTCAACAACTGTTGCAGGCAGAGTGGTAGCAACAAATCAAAAGTAATGATAAGAGACAATTATTCCATTATTTTATGTATTCTGATCAAACAATTTTTGATTCTACACTAACATCCTCTTATTTGACGTACCTAGGGTTACATCATAACCATCTTGGGAGTTATTGAACATATTGAGACACAATATGGATGGTTCTATTTAGGTTGTCAAGGATGTTGTAGAAAAGTCAATCATATTGACGGTGTCTACAAATGTGCTTCTTGCAATGTTGCGTACAAGAATGCTTTGACATTGTAAGTGCTCCAAACTTTTAACGCTTGCTAACCATTTTCATAATTTACATCTTCAATCATTCTGCCACTTGTGATCAGGTTTAAGTTACATTTGTCTGTTCGGGATGACACCGGTGTTGTCAATTGTGTTGTCCTTCACAAACTTGCTGAGAGGATGGTAGACTCTTCTCCTTTGAAGCTGTTAAACAAATCTGATCCGGACAAGGACAACTTACCATGCGAAATTACTTCCCTTTGTGGGCAAAAATTTGTGTTCTGCCTGCAATTGTCTGATTATAATATCAAACACGGCAGCAATATCTTTACCGTCTCTAAGGTTTTTAATCCAGATTATGTTCTAGAGAAAGAATACAAGCATGTTGACTCAACCACACTTAGTTTTTTTTTATGTAAAACCTATATTTCTAGCTGTTTGTTGTATCATTTATCTATCTTCCAAGAATTTTAAATGGTTTCCCTTATGTTCAAGTTATTTTGTTTGTTTTTTATTTATGTGGTTTTCAAATGACATAGGAGATGGCTTCGAGTGACATGAAGAATTTGGATGATATTGGTGGGACCCCGCCGTGTAACAATGCTACTCGAACCACTACACGTAAAAGAAAGTTTATTGTCAACGATGATGATGAGGCCAACGATTGATTAGTGTTTAATTTAGTGTGACAATTTCTCATAATTGATAGTTTTGTTTATTATAGTTTGAATAACTTGGATGATTAATTTTTTAGCATTATATTAGATTATATTATGGTCAAGGATATGTCAATTTAATATTTCGTTCAAAGTTCTTAATATTTCAATAGAATATTTTTTTTATTAGTGATTATATGATGATTTAATATTCAATAAAAAAAAACAAGGATTGAAAATCTTATTAAAGAAGCACTTGACTAATGCGTGGGTAAGAGACAATATATCTGGAGGAGGTGAAGACGACACGTTTGTTATGTAATTGGGTGGGACCATGACATTTTCTGTAGTAGTAATCTTCGTTTATTATTCCATGAATAAATTTACTCCATAAAATATCTAATTTTTTTAAATACCACCGATATATTAATAAAAAAACAAAAAACATAGAGACAGATAGAACGTCCAGACGTAGAAACAATCTAAAATCACAATCACCGTATATTGCAGATAAAGCCAAGCATTGAACCAGAGAGCAACATAAAAACATCACGTTAATTATATTTATATAAAGTCAAACAGCTTCTTTTATTTTTATTTTAATTAATTACTACTTAATATTTTTAACCAAACACCACCTTAATATAAGTTTAACATTAGACTAATAAATATAATGTTTTTTCTTAAAATTTAAAGTATGTTGTTTACAATAAAACAATGCTCTAATAAAATAATAAAGCTTTATCTCATTAATGTCTTCATTCTATTTTATTTTTTGTTTTTAANTTAATTCTAATATTTTATTCAATTTAATTCCAATTAAATTATTAATATTTTTATTAAATATAATGATTTACTTCTTTAATGTATCATGAATACAAAGCCATTATTTGTGTATAAATACTAAATATGTTACACTTTACATCACATAATCATAGACAATTGTATTACACGCTTGTGGTGTTGTGTTTTTGAAGGAAGATTATCAACATCTTTTTTTTCCGTCTTCAAAAGTTCATTATCCCAACGACTAACAAGGTATGTAGCAAATATGCTAGCAATATATGAATCTTAAGTTAAAATACATGTTACCTTTTTGTTGAAAGTTCCCATGTCATTAAATAGTACATGTCTGATCAAATGTATTATGTAAATACAATGTTTGATTAATTAGCTTACTACAAAACCTGATAGAATTCTGCATTTTTAGAATGCAACAATATAAGATTTAATAATTCCAAGACTAATGATATAAAAGAACATTAATATATTTTTAATTCTTTTTTAATTTGCTCATTAAATTTTAGAAATGATTAATTAGACCATCTAATTTTTTAGCTAAACAACATTTTGATGCTTATTTTTGTACTTGCATATAGAATATAAAATACAAGAGTACAACAAATAAAATATGGAGTATATTAGTTGATTTTGATTTTGATTTTCTATAATAATAAAACATCTTAATCATCTTAGAAAATTTCAAATAAAAAAATTTAATAAGATTTTTATAAAAATTATTGATATTAAATTTAACTATATATGTAATTAGAAATTAAATTTCTTATAGTTAAAATGAAATAACTAATCAATTTATATTTTCTTTCTTCAACAACTACTATTTTTTCTCACGCGTTTTTTGGTTATTTAAAACAACAAAATACTTTATATTATTAAACTTTGATATGGTTCATATATTTATTTATTTCAATTTTGTTAAAAAAATTAATTTATAAATTAAATATTATTGAAGATGTGAAATGTATACATAGATTATAAAATCAGGGATTAATTCATAGCTAAACATGCATTCGATAAATATTTTAAATTTTTAATGTTTGATTCATATATTTATTCAATTAATTTTTGACAATACATAACAAATAAAACGTATTTCTATTTCATTCCTAATTTGGTTATTAAGTTTTAGATAGTTAACTAAAATTGTTATACAAAATATTTCATCTTAAAAAATTATTAGACTCTCAGTCATTTAAGTTATCTAATTACATGGTTTTCTTATTTATCGAAAATAACTACTTATTACTCTTTTCCTTAACCAAATATAATGTCATGTTAAACTTGGAGTCTCATGTAAAATATATGATAATTATGTGTGTATTATTTGTTTGTAGGGTAGGGGAAAAATAAGTTGAATGGAAAACTTTGAAGAGGTCGGTGAAATTCGTGTACCCCTTTCACGTCTTGCACGTTTTGAGAGGCGTCATAAACTCAGAGAAAAAATATTGCTACCTTTACCCACTTCTCAGTTACATGTAGTTCAAAAGGTTATATGTAAACGTGGTAGACTTCACAGGAAAATTGAAATTATTAATCGGTCAGTACTTCCAAATCCGGAGAAGACACAATTAAAAGTTCAATGTGTTAAGATATTCATCGATCAAATTCTAACGTTTTGGAATTTAGAAGGTATCGAAAACTTCAATCTTTTTTTACATTTTAAACTTACACACACACACATATTTATATTAGCTAACTGTTCACTTTATTTATTTATATCTTCTTATAATAAATTACTTTTTTATTTAAATGTGTTGAAATTTATAATTTTTTTGAATTTTGATCTATTTTGTGATTCAACATTATTACTATAACACACACACACATATATATATACACACACACATACAATAAAAATTATAATGGTAATCAGTTTTTGATATTTACCTTTTTTATAATCGCTTAATTTCTTATTCAAATACATTGAAATTTATGAGGTTCATGATTTTGATTTGTTTTCCAATCTAGCAATTTGGGCAATGGAGGTGGATGCACAAASAAGTATTCAAACTTYGACTGTCACGGAATCAAGCCGAAATACTGTTATCCGAGAAGGTACGTCTGTTAACTTTGTGAATAACATTTTTAAGTTTTATATTTATAAAATAATACCACCGCAATTAATTTTGCCTAAATTCAAAAATAAAGGGTAAATGTTGGTTTTTATTTTTCAATACATAATTATTCTAATTATCAACCATCAACATTTCCTTTATTTATTTAATCTATCCTCGAATGTGGGCTTTGCATTAAAAGTTTCAAAATTGATGCCAAACAATTGCATGAATATTAAAAATAAGTTTTGTGATAAAATTTGATGGAAAAGTGGTCATCACCATAATTATTGAACCTTTCTGTCCTATGTGTTAGTTCTTATTATTACAATATTGATATTTCTATTTTTCTAAAAAATTTAAAATTAAGATTGGTTGGTTATCTTTTCTTATTCTTCATCTACAAATAAAATTGACCATATTTTTAATAATTATGAATGTTGTAGAAAAACGTCAATTGAATGTAATTATATTAATTACCAAAGCTAAATTCAATATAATACATTTATAATTATTTGTGTATATCTTAATAAAAAAATTTAATATGTTTAATCTTATCAGAAAACTCTGCAACTCTGTGGAATTTTGGTAAACCGAATCACACTTGTGGACAATGTGGTGCCATCATGTGGTACGAAGAAAGATCTCGAAACGACAGAAAAACATCTAATTCAAAGTTTATGAGTTGTCGGAGGGCCGCGTCAAACTACCATTGCTACCCCCATCACCACAAACACTTGATTACCTTCTTTCCTTAGAATTTGGGAAAAAAGGCGTCAATTTCCGAAAAGAGATAAGAACTTACAATTCAATGTTCGCATTCACTTCGCTCGGATGTCGTGTGGTGTTGGTCCCGTAAGGGTCTACAAGAATAGAAACAGTTTGTAGAAGGGGGG